TCGAGCTGGACCGGGGTCTGCGAGGACGGCGGCACTTTCGCCACGGGTCGAGGGGCCGAAGTTTCTCTGAAAAAGCTTTCTCCGGCCGAGCGGGCTAAGTTTAGTGCCTCGGACCAGAAGGAATGGGCGGCTATGATGGGGACCGGGGCCGTTCGAGTCGTTCCTCCGGCTAAGGCGAGAGTCATCCGACGTGAGCTTCCGGACAGGATTATCTCCAGCCGGATGGTTCGCAGGTGGAAGCCGGTGGAAGGAACGTTTGCCGAGCCGGAGGCAAAATCGAGGTGGTGCGTGCACGGCCATCGTGACCCAGACTCGGGCTCGCTGGCAGTGTACGCGCCAACTCCCCAGACCTCGTCAATCATGATGTTTCTGCAGGTCTCAGCCAACCTGCATCAGCTTCTGGACATAGCCGACGTTAAGAACGCCTTCTGTCAGTCCAATCCCATGCAGCGTGCTGCAGGCCAGATCTTCGTTGAGCCCTGCGAGGGGATAGACTTGGAGCCGGGGGCCCTCATCGAGCTTCTGGTGAATGTGTATGGGCTGGACGACGCCCCAGTGGCGTGGAGGCGCACGGTCGTTAGCTATCTAGAGCAGAACGGCTTCGTCCGAAGCCTGTTGGAACCGTGCTGGTGGATGCGCTACGGGTCCCAGGGCCAGATCCTCAACATGATGTTGCTAGAAGTAGATGATTTCATGATCGGCAGCTGCGACTCGACCTCGAGAGCCTGGGTCCGGCAGTTGCTGGAGGCCAGGTTCAAGTTCGGCAAGTACAGGGACTGCCACGCGAGTCCCGTGGACTTCGCCGGACGGCGGATCACGCTTGGGGAGCAGAAGATAACCGTTGATCAAGAAAAATACATCCTTGAGGAGATTCGGCCCCTGAGTTTAGCCAGGGGGAGGATGTCCCGTAGTGACTCCCCACTCGAGCCTGACGAATTTCGAGCACTCAGGTCCCTGGTATATAAGTTTAATTGGGTCGGCAGGGAATCCAGGCCGGAGGCCGCAGGCATCGCTTCGATCCTGGCCAGTCGTTTGAAGAGCGCGACGATTTACGATGTTTCCTGTGCCAACAAGTTGGTCAAACATCTTCGGACGACGGCCTCTCGAGGCCTGACGATTTGGAGCCTGGACCCGGACCGTATGGCGTTTGTGTCGTTTTCAGACGCCGGGGGAGTAGGAGCTGACATCAAGATGAATGATGACCGGGGGCTCCCGGCCGACCCAACCCAGGGGGCTTGGTTGGTGCTGGCCACTGACAAGTCCGTGCTGTTGAACAGCTCGGTCAAGGCGTCATTCCTGGGCTGGAGGAGTAGTAAGCTACGACGTAAGGTCCCGTCCACCCTGGCCGGGGAAACCCAGGCATTGTCCGCCGCCGTGGCGGAGGTGGAGTACCTTCAAGTGCTCTACAGGGACGTGATGTTCCAGGACGTGGACGTCCCTGAGTGCAGGAGGGCCTCAGGGCCCTTCACCACCGTGCTTCGTAGGGATTGCAAGTTGGGGTCCCGGGAGAACCAGGTGCACGTCGTAGATGCAAAGTCCATCTACGACACGATGTTGAAGGAGGGGAACGCCAGCGCCAAGGACAGGCGCACTGCACTGGACCTCGCAATCATTTGCGAAGCACTAGAACGAGCGCGCGGAAGCGTGCGATGGATCCCACACGGCAGGATGCCGGTAGATCCACTGACAAAGGATGACATCACCAAGAGCAATGCCGCCCTGGCCGACCTCATGACTCGAGGCCGGCTCATCCTGGTGGACGAGAGCTCCGAGCTGGATCGCCGCCGAGCGGCACCAGAGCTCAAGGATCGCTCCCAGCTGGCGTCTAGAAGGCAGTTGGCCCGGAGTCAGAACATGCTGTCGTGGCAGGAGTTCCTGGACCAGGAGCTCTACCAGGTAGGTGGTGGTGGTGGTGGTGGTCCTATCTCCCCCCTTTCCTCTCCCCCTTGGCCGGACGGTCCTCCCGGCCTACCTCCACCATCATTTCAATAGTCTTCCATTGTTGCTCTCATTCTCACCTTGTTTTCTTGAATACGGCCGTCCTGGGGGACGGAGGCTTCCATGGAAAGCCGCCACCGTGTACTGCGCTTTTCCGCGAATGGGTGGTCACAGTTCTCCTGACATGGGGAGAGCTGAACCTAGAAGAAAGTTTGACCAGTGTTGCAGTGAGGCAGATTTTCACTGATAGGTTCAGCGTCAGGAGTTTCTGTCCGTGACCAATTTGGCTCAAGGGTAAAACACCTAGTCTGTCTCCGTCTGCCACAATGAGACGCTATGCAACATGAGCGCTCGTGGGAAGTGCACGTGGGAGCACAGTACGCGGCGAGGAGAGGGAAGACCTCCGGCCTCGGCAAGGGGCCAGATCCGCATTGTTCTGGGAGGTCGGCGGCGAGCGAGGAGGGGAAGCGAGAAGGAGAAGGCCTTCTCAGAAGGTTCGGAAATCCCCCAGCCTTCCGAGAAGTTTTCGAAGTCTCCCCCGAAGACAGAACAACAACTTCTCGGAAGGCACGAGGGCTTCTGAGAAGTCCCGCCGCCTTCTGAGAAGGCCTTCTCCTTCTCGCTTCCCCCCCTCGCTCGCCGCCGAGCAAAGGAGTATACACCGGAACCCGCATGGGCGCCCAGGCGAAACCTCGGCGAACCCGGCCGGAGCACGGGGTGCCCACGAGGCACCCACGGACGGCCACCGTGTGAAATCTCTGCGGGCCCAACCGTGCACTTGAGCATCACAACTACGAGCCCCCACGAGCCCGAAACTGTCCATGTTCACCGCCTCCTGGAGTTCTGGGACGCCAGCCGTCGCTCGGACGGCCACTGCCCGTGCGCTTGTCGATGTCGTGCGAAATCCTTGCTCCGCCAGATGATCCAAGATGCTCCTCGATGTCCTCGCCGAGACAGGCTACTCTGGTTTTCTCAATGAGCGTGGGGGGGGGGACCCCACCGACGGGGGCCAACCTCGCCTCGTCGTCGCGCCGCGACGGCGGCCGGAGCGCCCTCGGCGCGCGGCGCGCGGTGACTGCCCGCGGCGGGGGTCGATGTGAGGCTGTCGGCGGGGGTGACGCCCCCCCGACGCTCATTGAGAAACTCTGAGTGCAGTCAAACCGTACAGTAAGGATGCGCGACAAGGATGCAAGGGCCTCGGCAGGCCGTTTCGAAGCTCCTCGAGCGGGGCGCGGCCCACGAGAGTGGCCAAGGACGGACCGAGGAGGCCAGGATGCAAAAGGCACCCTCTTGGGAAGGCTGCCCATCCTTACTATGCGGGTTGACTGTGCACAAGTCCGATCAGCGCCCCTCAAACGGGGACTCCACTAACGGGTACTTTGGCCAGTGACCCAGCGAACCCAACCCTTCCCGATGTGGGCAAAACTGCAATGCAAGAAAAAGGCCCTAAAGTGGCAACTTTCGGCTAAAGAGGAAAAGGATGGAGGGCGGGGCGTCAGCCAGCCACGGGGCTGGCCGACGTCTGGGCCGTGGCCACCGCAACCTCTCGCTCAACCCCAGCGGCCGGGCCCGTCTTAGGCGGGGGGTGAGGAGGGCGAAGAGGTGGCGGAGAGGGGGCGGAGGAGGAGGAGGAGGACGAGGAGGAGGAGGAGGAGGAGGATGAGGAGGAGGAGGAGGAGGAGGAGGTGGCAACTACCCGTTAGTAAGTACCCGTTACGGTGCCGTTGATCCGAGGCGGCGCCCGGGGACGCCGCTTCCCGAAGCGGTGGCTCTCGGCACTCCAGGCCTCGGGCTGCGCCGCCGGCGCGCTCGGCCCGCGGGGCCCCTAATTGGCACGGGCGGTGGCCGCCGCGGCCGCGGGCGGGCGGGTGCTGCGCACCCGCGGGCGGCGAGGGAGACGGTCGGAACGGACGCCGAGGCTGACTACCTACCATGAAGGGGAACTGGAACACACAAATAAATACACACAAATAAACATATCCCCCATATTTTCCCATATTTTCTGGGTTTCTGTCTTCCCCCCCACTTCACATATTTTCCCATATTTTCCTGGGAGTGGACGATTAATTGTGTCTGTGTGTTTCTTTCCCTCCTGATACCAGACCGGCCCAACCCAACCCGAAGACCCGAACTTCGGGTTGGGGGGGGTAATGGGCTCCAGATGTGGCTCTTCGATGAACCCGGACCCCCCCCCACTGGAAATGGACGGCGAATTGAGGCCTTCGGGTTGGGTTGGGGTGGTTTGGTGGGTGGTGAGAGGCTGCGCGAGGTGATGGGGGGAGCGAGGAATGACAAAAACACAACAGCTCGGAGGTCCGCGCGGATCTCTCGGATCCGCGCTGGACACCCCCCCTCCCTGGCAGCGCCTCAGGCGCCACCCCTGGCGCGCTCCGCGCGCCCGGGAGGGGGGGGCCAGCGCCGATCCGAGGAGATGTTATGTTTATGTCTATGTTGCTCCCATCGTACTGAAAGACCACATCCCAGAAATAATTTCGAGCACCCAGGAAAGTGTCGACACAGTGTCGAGTGAGTATCGCCTCCCAGGGCCCGACACGCGAAAACCCTCAAGCTTCGGTACTTTCGTGGTGCTCGAAATTCCTTCTGGTGAACATGAGCTGAAGTAGCTTGGATCATCATAAGTGTATGTCATGTTTCGTTCCCCTATACGAGGGTGCAGGCCCCTTGGGCGCCCACGTCCAGGCTCTTCGGGCGGGGCTGGCCCTCTCGAGAGCGGTTGGGGACAGGCCGAGGAGGCAAGGCTGCACGGGCACCCTTGGGAAGTCGCTCCTCCTCACCATCGGTTCTGACTGTATGGTGGGCGGCGCCCAAGGGGGTGGCCCTCTGAGAAGGGCGGTGGGGCGTCTCAGAAGGCAGGGGCCTGCTCAAAAGGCCCCGGAGGCTTCTGCAGAAGGCTTCTCTGCCAGGCGGGCGGCGGGCGACCAAGAGGCCCTCCTGCCTTCTCAGAAGCCGCGCCAACTTCTTAGAACTACTCCCCTCACGCCACCCCCTTCTGAGCGCCGCCAGGACGGCCTCGGGGCTCGCGGTCGGGTCGCGTGGTGGCCTCAGGAATCGCCGCCGGGCGCGAGCCCAGGACTCACGGGCACCGAACCCGCGGTGGTGTCCTGGGGCCGAGTGCCCAGTGTCCGCTGGCCCTGCTGCGGCTGGCGGCCCTTCTTCTCGCCAGCCCCTGGCATGGCGCTTGCCCGGTGCCTCCGGATGAACACCGCCCGGCGGACCTCAGCAGGGTCGTACTCCCCCGGGGGCAGGAACTGCAGCAGCTCCTCGGCAACCTCATCGGGCGGTGGGCCCATGTCGACGGCCCCCGGCACGCCGTCCGGCAGCGGGAAGTTGTCCTGCAGATCTAGCACGCTCAGCACGGTGGAATGGACGGCGCTGATGACGAGGTCCATGAACATGCTGCTGCCCAGGCACCCGATCCCGTTCTGGGCCAGGCACAAGAACTTTAGATCTGGGTGTGCCGCGATGACTTCGGCCCACCGCTTCGCGCCCAGCTCCCGGCTGCGGTTGCCGCGCAGGTCGAGGGACAGGACCTGCAACGGCTCCAGCGGCGCGGGCTCCTCATCGTCCTCCTCCTCGGGAGGGACGACGCCAGCGATCGCGTCTGCGAGGGCGGTGCTGCCTCTCTCCTGAATGAAATTGTCGCACAACTCTAGGCTCGTCAGCCGGGGCAGCTTGACCAGACTCGATGCGATAAAGGTCGCGCCCTCGTCTCCGATATTGTTTGAGGCTACCGCCACGTGGACAACGTTGCAGTTGGCATCCGCAAGCGCCCTGAACAGCAGCTCAGTGCCAGCATCGCCGAGGTGGTTATGGTTGAGGTTGACATGCGTGAGCACGGGCATCTCCACCACCTCCGGGAGCCTGCAAAGGTGTGCCGGGCAGAGGTCCAGGTGCTGCATATCCACCGAAGTGGCGACCCCGAAGACCTGAGTGACGTCGACCTCGGACGGCAAGCTGACGGTGCTCACCCCGTTCATGATCTCCGCGTGCTCCAACTCGGTGTCGTCCTTTCCATACAGCGTCCGGAAGCAGCAGTGCAGCAGGCGCGAGTTTATGTTGTTCTGATAATACAAACGCTTCGGCTGGTCCGCCTCGCCCTGCCGTCGCCTCCTCGACTTGCGCGCCCTCTCCTGCAGACGCTGCTTAACACGCCCGAAGGTGGACTGATCGCCCTGGCGCTCAGTTCCGGGCACCCCGTTCAGCACGGTGCGGTCGCCTTCAGCCACGAGGTCCTCAACGCTGTCCACCAAAGGTACCACGGACAGCCTGAGCTGCGTGGCGAAGGGGCACGCCTCAAAGAGACGCCGCGCGGAATCCAACTGGGCCTGGATTGCCGCTGCAACACGCTGCCTCTCCACCGACTGGGGCGGCGGGAAAGGGCTGGCATTGCTGACCGTGGCCTGTTGAAACATGCCGCCATCGGCCGTCAGGTTCTGCGGCATGCCCCACGGGCCAGGGCTGTCGGCCGAACGTCTCTTCCCCAGGTCGCCAGGGACCACGACGTGCACGTGGCAGTATGGTATCTGGGTGTAGAGGTGCAGTATGCCCGCGAAGAAGTGCGCGTCGCACTCGGACATCGCGGCCAACAACGGCTTGCTCCGGCCAGGCCGCCCCGACACCTCCGCGAAGGTGCGAAGAAGCATCGGGGGGCCACTGGAGCGGCCCGACGCGCCGGCGGAGCGGCCAGTGCCCGACTGGAGAAGCTCCAGGTCCACCCCGTTGATCTGTTGCAGCGAGCTGCCCAGCCTGGCCGAGGCGGCCCCCTCGCGGAGCACCTCCCTGATGTGGTGCACGAAGTTTAGCAGTTCGAACGAGGAGCGCGTGCGCAGGCGAGGGCAGGAGCGCACGTTGAGCTCCCGCAGGCTGTGCCGCAGGCTGCCGCCCATGGACTGGTGCTTCAGGGTGTGACACAGCTGCGCCACCGTGTCGTCGGTGATCTGCAGGTTGCCGGACAGGTCGATGCGAACCAGGTTCGGGGCGGAGGACCTGGGGAAGCCCAAGGGCACGGCCCTCTCCTGGGGTGCATTTTCTGACTGGAGTTTCGAGGCGAATCTGGCAGTGTCGACGAGAGCCTCCCAGGAGGCCCAACGAGGGGAAAACGAGGCAAGGGTAGCGTCATGGGTACCTTCTCTCGAGGAAAGCGAACTCTGCACATACACCGATTCTGGCCAGGCCCATCCTGACACCACGATCGGTGTGTAGGCCCTCCTGCCTTAGCCGCGAAGACACATGCACCAGTCCTTCGCCCAGGATGGGCCTGGCCAAGATCGGTGTCTGGGTGTGTGTTTGTGTGCATAGTTCTCTTCGCCCGATGTCCCTCCACCGAGGACCGGCTCAGGGGCGCGGTGGCCCTCCTCTCCTGCTCCGCGAGGTGCCGCAGCAGGACGCACAGCCCCTTGAGCCCGACGTCGGTCAGGCTGGGGCCCCGCAGGCGGAACTCGGCGCCGTCGGCAGCCGAGGGCGGCAGGAAGGCGGCCACAGGCCACAGCTGCAGCCTCGCCATCACGCCGAGGGTGAAGTCGTTCCACTCGACGCCCTCCGGGAGCTCCAGCGCTCCGCCCTCCTGCGCGTCCTTCTGGGCGACGAGCTGGCCGACGGGGAGGTGGTTGAGGCTCTGCAGCCGCGGGGCCATCTGTGTGACCGCCTGAAGCAGCAGGCTCGCGCCGCGGCTGGTGAGGCGAAGGTCTGCTAAGTGCAAGCGCTCCAGCGACGGGATGGACAGCAGCGCGTCCGTGAGGAGCGCCAGTGTGGAGTCGAGAGGCACCTCTAGCCGCCTCAGAACCAGCGAGTTGAGCGATGGGAAGGACTCTGGCTTCAAGTACTCGAAGTAGATCAGCCCGTCCCCTTCGTCCAGCCTGACGTACTCGGCTTCGAGCGCTTCCCGAGCGAATGCCTCGCCGCTGGGCTCCTCTCGGGGATCTGCTGACCCGGGTCATTCCAAGCCCGGGTCAGTCAGGCCTGGCAGGATCATGCAAGATCCTGCACCCAAACCCGGGTCAATGCGACCCCAGCCCTGCAGCATCCTGCAGGATCCTGTAGGATCCTGCACCCGAACCCGTGTCAATGCGACCCTGGCTCTGCAGGATCCTGCAAGATCGGGCGCTCTGGCTGACCCCCGTTTGCATTGACCCCGTCTCAAGGCCCCGATCCTCCTCCTCCTCGTCCATGCCGTCTTCGCTGCCACCGCGGCCAGAGCCAGGCCTGTCGATGCAGGAGCCATCGATCCTCAGCTCGGTGCGCTCGGCAGCCTCTTCCCTGTCCACTGGAATCGCGTTGAGCGTCTGGAGGACATCCTGCTCATCAAGCAGGCTGATGATCACCTCTGCGTCCACGCGATTCAGCCCGCAGCCTCTGAGGTCGAGCGACCTCAGCGTGCTGTTCGGGGACAGGAGGCTTCTCAGGATATCATGGAGCAGACCGTCGACGAACGTTGTGCCCAAGGGCCCCATCGCCTGCAGGGCAGCCTGCTGGGTGCCGATGCGCAGATCCTCCCTCCAGTGGAAGCGCGTGAAGGGGGGAGGGCCCTCCTCCTTGTCGTAAGCGTCGGCCTCGTGCTCGAAAGTGTCTGCCAGAAGCTCGTCCCAGTCCCCTGGCTTCATGTTCTTTCTCGGCCCATCCCACAGAGGCCTGGAGGTGGCTGGCCACTCGTCTGGGCGGACTGTGCTGGCCAGGTGCGAGCGGAGGTCGCACATGCACAAGGAAAGCTTCTCCAGCTGCAGCTCCCCCGCCGTGTCGTCATCTAGGGGCAAGGGAACAAAGAGTTCCTCCTCTTCCTCCTCCTGCTCCTCCGGCTCGGGGTGCTGGAAGAACTTCTTGGCGCTGGGGAAGCATCTCCAGAACGTCTTCGAGTCGTGGCGCTCGCCAGTGTCGTACTCGTTCGCGTCGACACCGCTGAGGAGCGCGGCGAACTGATCGGGCGGCATGGCCGCCACGTCGTCCTTGGAGACGGTGCCACGGGCGTCGCTGACGATCTCCTGGAAGTGCTCGCTTCGGAGAAGGGCGGCGTGGATGTTCTCGAGCTGCCGCCTCCTCTTCTCGCTGAAGCGTTTGTGGGCATTGCATGAGGTCGACCCCATGGTCGACCACTTGGGCATCACGCGGATGCGCTCGACGGGCAGTGGCCTCTCGCGGCTGCAGAACGCCTTGAACAGAGCGGGCAGTGCGGGCCGCAGGTGGTCGTAGCAGAACTCGCGGAGCGGCGCGTGGCAGTCCAACGACTCCAGCAGGCGCTCCGAGACCTGGTTGTTCTTCAGCACCACCGCGTGCGTGAAGCGGGGCACCTGAGAGGGCGACCACACGAGACCGTACCCCTTGGGGCCACCTCTCCCCCAGTGCTCCCCAGACAGTGCCTGCACTCAAGGGGGTTCTTGCCTGTGCTACCCGAGGAACTGGGCGGGTGGGGCGATGGTTCGCCTGGGGGACGGCCGCGGGCGCACCGCGGGCGCCCCGTGCGCTGAGCGGGTTGCGACTAGGTTCCCCCTGGAGGGTGGCCGCGCGCGCCTCGTGGGCGCCCTTTTCCGCTGGGCGGGTGCGTGGTGAGGGTGTGCCCGGTGGCCGCCCGCGGGCGTCTCGTGGGCAAGACTTAGCTCACGCGACATAGCACACTCCACCCAGCTTGCACCACACAGGTTCCACCGTGCGACTTGCACCACACACCTCACATCACATAGACTGCACCGCATGGACTGTAACACGCAACTTGCACCGCGTAGTTTGCATCACGTAGCTTACACCACAGCACTTGCACCGTATCGCTTACCCCACATAGCAGTAACAGCGAGATTGCAGCACCTGGCTTGCACTACATAGCTTACTCACACAACTTACACCGCATAGCTGACCGCACATCGATCACACCACATCGAGTGCACCACATAGGATTGCACCACACAGCTTACACAGTCAGTGCAATAAACAATAACTCACTGGTTGGGTCCACGCTGCCAAAATTAAATGTGTGCATACACATTCATTATTATATGTATATGTACGTCGTTCGGAAAAGTATGTACGCATATGTAAGCTTGGCGTTCGAAGCACAGACGGAGCCTCTGTGAAACGGTTGGGATACATGACTGTCGTTTGGACCCGGAGTGGTAGGGTTCAGATGTGGTTGCTGGCCTGGTCTCCCGAAGCCATTCCAGACAGAGGCCCTGCAAGCTGCGCTTGCTGCCTCTTGATCGTCTCGACTAGCGGGTTGTTGGTTCTCGGGAACGTGGCTGTGAAGTTGATGATCACGACCATCGGGGTCTTGCTCAGAAGGCGCAGCACGTCGCAGAACTCCTCCACATCGGCGTCCGCCGACAAGTTCGCCACGAGCTGCGGGAAATCTCCGCCGCCGTTCTGCAGATCCACGGCCACCCCGACGAGGCACTGCATCAACACCATCATCGTCAACTCTGGCTGGTCCCGAAGCCGTGCGCCACCCTCATGAGGGCCCCGGAAGGAGATCTCATTGAACTTTTCCAGGTATACCTTGCTCTGCTCCATCGTGGACAGCATGCCGTACAACGCCTGCCAGTGCAGCTTGCGGCCAACCAGCCTGTCCTCGATGAGCCACCTGGGAGCGGTGCCTGTAGAAGTCCAGTCCTGCAGAAGTCTGGCCTCGTCGAGAGGCATCGGAGTGGACGCGTAGCCGAGGAGGTTCAGCGTCCTCAGCTGAACACACTTCGTGGAGATCGCCCGCATCAACTCAATGGCAACTGGCCTGCCTTCGCGCGGCAGCGCCACCGTGAGCTTGACCAACGTCCGGTGCATGTCGTGCACAATGGCCATCAGGCCTGGCCACAATTCCCTCGGCGTGCTGGAACAATTGGGGTACTCCTTGGACGGATTCTTGGACGAGCCGAAGAGGACGTCCTCCAGATGCGGCTTCCCCGCGACCATGAACCACATGAACACCAGCATCTGCACCCTGGGCCATCCCGCGCTCCTCTGGGGCGGGAAGACGGGAACCTGATTCTCGCGAACGAGGGACAGGTTCGCCCACTCGAGCGGCGGCCGGGAGGTGTTGGACGCCAGTCTGTTCATCCTCGGGTGGTCCCACAGGCCTATGCCAAAGTCCTGCAGCATCTGCTGCTGGTCCGGATTGTCGTTGCATGGGCCCAGCGGGAGAGCGGCCTCCTCCAGAGTCTCGTTGTCGAGGACTGCGCTCGCCAGCATGGCCGAGCCCTCGAAGTCCACCGGCAGATGCGTGGCGTTCAGCTTCAGCAGCGTCTTCGTCTCCTTGACGTACTTGGCGAGCTTTCTGACTCCGTCCTTCCGGATGACGTTCTGGGAGATGTCCAGCTCGGTAACACAGTCGTAGCGTCGCAGCCACTCCTCGAGGAAGACGAAGTCGTCGTCGTCTAACATCAATTTGGTCAGGTTCAGGACGGTCAGCTGGCTGGTGCGGAAGTCTGCGAAGTCGCAGCCGATCGGCCTGGACCCAACAGCCTTGAGCTGCATGCCGTTGACGACCCGCAGCTGGCACTGCGCATTGCCGAGCAAACTCTGCGCCAAAGCCTTGGCTCCGTCCTTCTCGACGTTGTTCCTCCGGAAGTCCAGCTCCGTCAGCGAGGAGTTCAGGCGCAGGAAGTGCGCTAAGAAGATGGCGCCGACGACCTCTATGCCGTACATGCAATGGTTATTATGGACCGACGCCAAATCCAACCTTGAGATGCTGTTGTGGCGCAGCTTGTGCAGGGGCACGCCGTTACAGTACTCGAGGCTGAGGTATTTCTTCTTCATCGCCTTCACAAGCCTCCACCCGAACGCAGCGCTGAGCCGGTTGCCTCGCAGGTCCAGGGACGTGATGTGGCTGACCGACGTCACGAGCGAGAAGATCGCGCTCTCGCCCAGCTCCGAGCCCACGAGGTTGATGTTCTCGAACTGCAGCCCCTGGATTCCGAAGGAGAGGTCCAGGCCGAGGGGCATGCCGGGCAGCCCCGTGGGCCCCAGGTTGCCCGAGGGGTAGCCGCCCCGCCCCGCCGACGAGGGCGCCGAGGCGCCGGCGCCGTGGTGGTCCTGCACGGCCACGGCATGGGCCCGCCGCGGCGCCCGGCCCTCGTCGGGGGTCTCGTCGCCCATGGCCGCGAGGCCGCTGGCCCCGCGCAGCAGCCACCCGCCCCCGCGGACCCCTGGGGCAGACGGCTGCGTGCGGACCCAGGATTGCACGCCGTTCCTCTCTTATAGCGTGCCCATTTCTGACTGTGCTCGTTTCTGATTGTTCCTGGCCCCCTAGTGGCCCTAGTGGCCAGGAAGAGCCCCAAGATGGAACAATCAGAAATGAAAAGATCTTGGCCCGCCACAAAGTTCAAAGAACTCTCGAAGAATTAGGCATGCACCATGTGTACTCTCCCCATCGCCAGGGCGCCGCGGAGAACATGATCACGTTTCTCCTCCCGGGCAGGCTCCGTGCAGACTCGGTCCGCAGACCCGGCCCACGCACAGTGCCGACCAGTTCTTCGAGTCGCGCCCAGCGCTGCCGACCAGAGGGGGCTCCACGGCGGCCGCGGGGCAAGGCGGCACCCGCACGGACAGGGGATCGGGATCCTGCCGGCCTGCGAATGCTGGGCCGAGTGCGGCAGGCTCGCGTCGCGACGACCCAGCGGTTGGCTCCCGACACCGCGTGGATGTATCGACCATATGAACGCTCTGCGACTTCTCGATCGCCGGATCGTTCCGTGCGGGCCGGTGCCGGGCCCCCCGCGGCGCCCCACCGGGAGAACGCCTGCGGCGGGGTCGCCGCCGCGTCGGCACGGCGCGGCCCTGCCGTAGAGGCGTCGCAGAGGAGCCAATCGCGCACGCCCGTCGAGGCGGGCACCCGGAGGGGGAGGGGGAGGGGGAGGGGGAGGGGAAGGAGAAGGAGAAGGAGAAGGAGGAGGAGGAGGAGGAGGAGGAGGAGGAGGAGGAGGAGAAAGGCCTGCCCGTCCATGCGGGCACCCGGGCAGGGGCCTGCGGACCAGAAGGGCTCCACTGTACGCTCGCCTCGCCGCTGCCTCGGGCCCTCCTGCGGGGGGCTGGCCTACTCCCCTGCAGCGCGTGCCTCCCGAGCGGGGGCGAAGCCTCTGCACGGCCACGCGGAACCCCATGGCCAACCTACGGCCATCATCGTGCTGCCAGGGGGAGCGTTGAACAAGGAACGAAGAGGCTTCTCAGGCCATGGCGAGCCTCGGCCACGAATGTGTTCCGCGATCTTGAATCCTGAGCCGAACGTGGTTCTCGTTTCAGGTCTTGGCTGCACTCGTGGCGACTCTACGTGGGCTCTGGACAACGGGGAGTGGACGAGCATCACTGCACAATGACGGGTGCGTGTCCTCCTCCTCGTCGAGGTCGTCGACTTCGTAAGCCGCCGGCCCCGGCCGGGGGCACCACTCTGACAAGGGACGGGGCCCGGACGCTGCTGCAGGGAGGGGCATCGACCGAGAACCGATGGCAGAGCAACGCACGAGCGCCGCGGCGTGGAAACACGCCCGCACGCAGGTGTCGACGGTTTTGCAAAAGGTCTGGTTTGCAGAGGGTGCGGTTTGCCACCGGCACCCCGGGGGGTCTGGCGGGGCCCCCGATGGAGTTTTCCGCCGCGCCCCGAGGCGGCCCGACGAGGACAGCATCGTGTTCCCCAGGCTCCAACGGCGCAGATCGCAAACCCCCCACCCCCGCGTAACCATACCCTCTGTAGTCTGTAGCCGCCGAAGAGGAAGATGAGGATGAGGATGAGGAGGCGGAGGAGGAGGAGGAGGCGGAGGAGGAGGAGGGAGGAGGAGGAGGAGGGCGGAGGAGGAGGAGGAGGAGGAGGAGGAGGAGGAAAAGGAGGAGGAGGAAAAGGAGGAGGAGGAGGAGGAGGAGGAGGGAGGAGGAGCAGGAGGAGGAGGAGGAGGAGGAGAAGGAGAAGGAGGAGGATTTTTTCACTCATGGGCAGAAGGTGCGCCGCTCCGAAGTCGACGGACCCTTAGGCCTACAGCCTCTGGAGCTGGAGGCTCAAGCCTTCTGTAGCCGCTGGAATGCTAGGAAAAGCTCAATGTCCAGCAAGGCAACCCGACCACAAGGAGCAGACCATTGAGCAGCCTCTTGAGGGCCAAGCCTGGGGCCACGCTTTGGTGGCCCCGTGCATTCCGCCAGAAGGCCTCTGAAACAAAAGTGGCAGGCTAGCCTCTCCTCACACAGTAGGCCAGCAGGCCGTCTCCACAGTGCCTGCAAACCGAGCGCGAGTGGAGTGCACTTGTCAGAGGCGCTACCTAAACTCGCTCGAAAACGGGGTGCAGTGAACATTGCGGCGCCTCGAGACCACTTCGTAGGAGTGGCTGAAAGAAGCACCCGCACAGCGCCACTCAAAGTGCTCAGCTCTTAGCCAATCCTGCGCTAGCTTGAGCGAGCTGTATCAACACCTGACTTACGTGTCTTGAGGAGGAGGAGGAGGAGGAGGAGGAAGTGTGAGAGGAAGAGAAGAAGGAGGAGGAGGAGGAGGAGGAGGAGGAGGAGAAGGAGGACGGGGAGGAGGAGGAGGAGGAGGAGGAGGAGGAAGAGGAGGAGGAGGAGGAGGGGGACGAGGAGAAGGACGAGGAGGAGGAGGTGGAGGAGGATGAGCAAGCCATAAGCAACCTCGCAGGACCTCTGGGGCGGGGGAAGGCTCCCTCGCAGGACGGGGGCGGGGGTCGGAGGGGGAGCGGCAGCGGCACCAGCCGATGCGCGCGGTGGAAACACTTGCAGCAGGAACTCTGGGGGCCCACACTCCTCCCTCCCTCTCCTCCCCTCCTCCTCCTCCTCCTCTTCCCCGTCCTCCTCCTTCTCCTCCTCCTCCTCCTCCCTCCTCCTCCTCCCCCTCCCCTCCCTCCGCCTCCTCCTCCTCCTCCTCCTCCCTCTTCTCCTCCTCCCTCTTCCTCCTCCTCCTCTCCTCCTCCTCTTCCTCCTTCTCCTCCTCCTTCCTCCTCACCCTCCTCCTCCTCCTCCTCCTCCGCCTCCTCCTCCTCCTCCTCCTCCTCTTCCTCCTCCTCCTCCTCCTCCTCCTTCTCTTCCTCCTCCGCATCGTCCTCCTCCTTGTAGGCGACGCGCACAAGAGGGCAGGGGGAGGAGGGAAGGCTTCTCAGAAGGAGGCTGCTCTTCAGAAAGCGCTGGCCTTATATAGGGAAACGAACTCTATACACCGACGCTTTTCCCGACCCTGCGCTGAAATTCGCACAGAAACGCGGATTCTGGTGTATACGGCATCCTGGTGTATACATGTTTCGTTGTTTCCTTAGGGGAAACGGGGAACAAGTATTAACCACACCACCCTGGCGTCGTCCCCGACCCTCAAAAAGTCCTGGGATTGAAAGAGAGCCCGCCACTGGTAATGTACATGTTCCAGTTTCCGATATACACCTCCAGATGAGGCCCGCGCATCCTTAGAAACAGAGGGTGTTTCTAAGAAACCTTCCCCCCTCCCCCTTTGCCCCCCTCTGCGCGTGGCCGAAGAGCTCCGGGGGCCCATTTCCCGTCGGCGGTGGGTCCACAGCACGGCGCCGAACCGGAGGCTTCCAAGGGGTGCCTGCCGGCAGGCCAAGTCCTCCTTTGATGTGCCGCCTGTTGAGAGGAGGAGGAGGAGGAGGAGGAGGAGGAGGAGGAGGAGGAGGAGGTAGGGGCAAGCTAGGTGCGCTCGCGTCACATCTGACGTCCTAACCCCCCCTCCCATACCTTACCATGGCGTAGATCTCCTCTCTATTTGCAAAATCGGATGTCGCAGCATCGCATAGCATTCCATGGCATAGCATGGTATTGAAGATCAACGCGTAGCATGACATAGCATGGCGTTGCGACGCCTCAAAGTGGTGGGGGGGGGGGGGGGGCCAAAATCAACGAATCGACACCAGATGTGTAATCACTTCCGATGGTTTTTTCGGTAGGCCATTTTCTAGATTTGGGGCCTGCTTCAAGGACCGAAAACCATGCCGTGGCATGGCACTGTAAATAATGACGCCAGCGCTGCAGCGGGAGCACGATTCGGGACGAGCGGAAGCGCGGAAATGAGGCCAACGCTGCAGCGGGAGCACGATTCGGAACGAGTGGAAACGCGGAAATGAGGCAAGCGCTTCCGCGGGAGCAACATTTTGAAACAAAAACAAAGCGAAAACCCATTTCCCGGGAATCCTGGAAAAAAATACGCGGAGGGGGGCCTCATATTTTCCGGACGTCATCAAGGGAGTGAGGAAAGTAGTATTCATATTGTGAAGTAATTGCACAGGGGGGGAAACGAAAAAAACGTGAGTCTGTCAAGGCATGCTGCTGCGAAGCGCTGCTGATAGCCCGTGAGGTGCACGGTCGCCTGGCATCGGCAGCGGCAAGAAAAAGCAAGTCATGATGCGCGCACGACATCTGTATCTCCTTTCAAGTTTGGATTGTTCTCTCTCTCTCTCTCTCTTTTTTTTTTTCTCTCTCTCTCTCTCTCTCTCTATATATATATCTATATGTATATCTATATATCACTTTCTCTCTCTCTCTCTCTTTCTCATCGCAGTATGTTATTTACAGTTCTCTCCCTCGTTCTTTCCCCCTCTCTCTCCTGCCCTCTATGTGTTGCTATCTCTAGCTCTCAATATCCCTCTGTCTCTCTCTCTCTCTCCCTCTCCGTGTGTCTCCCTCTCTCTCATGTATGTGTTCGTTTCTCTCTCTTTGTATCACTCTCTCACTCTCACTCTCTCTCTCTCTCTCTCTCTCTCCCTCCATCTGTACTTCATATGTGTATGGCTGTGTATGTATGTATGCCAGTGCCCCCATGTATGCACTATATATACACGTGCACATAATGCAACAACCTATAATAATGTGTTACTCGAATAACAAAGGACATCCGGACGCAAAGCAGTACGCATGCCTAGAGGTGGCCTCCTTCGGCCTTCACCACGCCACCAGCGTCACTGAGTTTCCTAGGTACATCAGCCCCTCGGCTACGCGACATCTGTATATATATATGTATATAGATATGTATGCATTTACGCATGTATATACATAGATATATAGATGTATATATATGTATATATATGTGCATATATGTATGTGGCATGTACATCTCATGCGCACCTCTCCACGGGGATCGAGCTCAGAAGCGATTCATTGTCGCCGCGTTCGTTGTTTCTAGCCGTTTCGTTGTGGACACCCTTCCCATTCTGAGAATCGGGCGCACCCCTAACTCAGATCGCGACGTCGGGGCCCAACGAATCTTCTCAGCATGGCAGCATGAAGCCTTCAAGCATTCAATGACATTAATGGCGCTGCAAACAATTACTCGAACCCGCTGGTGTGTCAACTGTTTTCTGGTGGAGCTGCTTGGCCTTATTCCTCACAACATAGAACTCAGTGAAATCCATTGAAGTGAAGCATACATGATCGAACACATGACTTGGCAGTCGTGAACTGCCAGAATGACGGTTCATCGTTGGTATACCGTGTGGCTCGTCATGCCCGCAAGCGCGCCTGAACAAGTTGTCTAATCGCGAGCAGTGGCAACTTCAACGGTGGCCCCCACAATTTTTCATTAGCCGAAACACGCACGCGCCACCTGTACGTGCATGGGTGCGCTTATGCAGAAGATGAGCACGTACTAGAACCACGCTCGCGCTTCACGCGCGTTTAGGTTCTAGCACAGGCTTCCACGACTGCAGACGTCATCTCGGACGATGGCAACGTTGAACGTAGACGCTGACGATGACGACGGCGTTGGTCCTCTCTGTAATGTCCTCCTCTTTCGCCTCCTCCTCCTCTTCCTGTTCCTCCATTTCCTCTTCCTTCCCTTCCGTGATTTCCTCTTGCAGAATACATAGTATACGTCAAGATTGCACAACGTAGATGGCAGAGCATAGACTGTACGTCATACATATCGACTGTGCAACATACGTTGCACCACGTATACTGCACCACGTCGGCTGCATCGCACAGATTGCGCACATTGATTGCACACTACGAATTGCACAACAAGTATTGTACCCCATCGATTGCACAACATGCAGTGCACATGCAAAAAGTCTAGACTCACGCTGTTCGACGTCCACGCTGGGTAACATCTCTTACTCCACATCTATAGTTGGAGAAGCACGCCTGTGTACGCGCGTGTATCTACACAGGCCTGCCACCGAGCCTGCAGCGGTTGGCGGGTGTCGGGCCCTCGCTGTTTCCTTCCCACGAAGCAGACATGGCTGGGCCCTCCCGACGCATCCGGCCCAACATGCGCTCGCGTGATTGATATCAAGTCCCCGTGCCCTGGGCATGCCGGACAACAGCTGCTCCTCAACTCAGAACATGCGGTCGGGGCAGGGGCAGAGTGCTCAGGATGGCCTGCAGGACGGCCAAGACGGCCTCCAGATAGAACCGACTCGTACAGATGGCATCCACGACTGTCAAAAACGGCCTTCAAGATGGCCGTTGGAGCCCGAAGACGACTCGATACCCCGCCTAAGCATTCCAAAAGGCCTCCACGAGGAAGGCCTGGATTGCCCAAAATCGTAAAGCTCCCGATTGGTTTCGACGAGTTTCGGCGCTCGCGCCATTTTCCGGCGGCCCAAGCGGCCTCCAAGATGGCTCCAAGCTTCAATACGGCCGACAAAGCCCCCAAACATCAGAGTGAGGGGGCCGAACGGTCATTCACTGTCTGGGTGCGTGGCTGATGTGGAATTCCGCGGTGCGGATTCTCGTTGTTGTTGTTGTTGTTGTTGTTGTTGTTGTTGTTGTTGTTGTTGTTGGTTGTTGTTGTTGTTGTTGTTGTTGTTGTTGTTGTTGTTGTTGTTGTTGTTGTTGTTGTTGTTGTTGTTGTTGTCTGTTGTTGTCTGTTGTCGTCGTCCCACCCGCAACCCGCCCCGCGACCCACCCGCGACCCACCCCGCGACCCACCCCGCGACCCACCCGCGACCCACCCGCGACCCACCCGCGACCCACCCCGCGACCCACCCCGCGACCCACCCCGCGACCCACCCCGCGACCCACCCGCGACCCACCCCGCGACCCACCCGCGGCCCACCCCGCGACCCACCCGCGACCCACCCGCGACCCACCCGCGACCCACCCGCGACCCACCCGCGACCTACCCCGCGACCCACCCGCGACCCACTTTCGACCCAAACCACGTTCAAGGTACAAACCACAAGTTTCGGCGCCTGCGGCGGGTTTTTTTGCATTCCTTCCAGGTGGAGAGCCCGCGACACATCCCGTGACCAACTCGCGACCCAAACTACGTTCAGGGTACAAACCACATGTTTCGGCGCCTGCGGCGGGCATATTTTGCATTCGTTTCAGGTGGAGAGCCCGCGGCCCACCCGCGACCACGTTCAGGGTACAAACCACATTTTCGGCGCCCGCGGCGGGCATCTTTTGCATTCGTTCCCTGTGGAGAACCCGCGGCCCACCCGCGACCCAAACCTCGTTCCGTGTACAAGCCATTTTTTTTGGCGCTTGCGGCGGGCTGCTTTTGCATTCCTTCCAGGTGGAGGTGGAGAGCCCGCGACCCACCCGCGACCTAAACCACGCTCACTGAACAAACCAATGCCGCACAAGCGCGGCGGCGGATTCTTGCATGCCGTCTGAGCCCGCAAGGACCTCTTCACGCCCCGCGCATCCACGCCAGCCCGTGCAGCAACTTTGCCCTGGCGAGTTGCCTTGATCAGAGAAGGCGGGGAGCATAAAGTGGGAAAATGGATTGCGTTGCAGTTATCTTGGGAAAAGAGGGGGAGGCAGGATGAGTAAACAGGGGACGAGGAGAACGTGGAAGAAGAGAGGATGTAAGGAGAACGTGGAGAAAGAAAAGGAGGAGGAGCAGGAGGACGAGGGGGAGGAGGGGGAGGAGGGGGAGGAGGAGGACGAGGAGGGGGAGGATGGGGAGGATGATGATGATGGACGACAATGGGAGGACGATGATGGAGGCCGATGAGGGGGAGGACGACAATGGGAGGACCATGATGAAAAGACGAGGGGGGGAGAGGGAGGACGAGGAAGAAGAGGAGGAGGAGGAGGAGGACGAGGTGGAGGAGGAGGATGACGATGACGATGAGGACGAGGAAGAGGAGGAGGAGAAGGAGGAGGAAGAGGAGGAGAAGGAGGAGGAGGAGGTGGAGGAGAGCGCCATCGACAAGGAAGGTGGGGGCCACGAGGTCCGCCGGCTCGACGACGTCCACGTCGCCCGCGCCCGCCCCCTCACTCTTATCCGCAATTGCGGGGTGCTACGTATACATATAGAGGGAGAGGGAGAGAGAGAGAGAGAGAAGACAACCCACCCCTCCAAAAGCACCCATTGCTGTTCAACGTCGTCATGCTGCCCACCCAACTCACACCCAGTCATCTTGATGCACTTACTCTTGTTCCTCCTGCTACGCGGGTTCCTCTCCATTCAACCCGTCACCCTCTATCTCTTCAGCTTCACTCTACCCCTGAGCTTCACGCTTACATTGCTTAGTTTACTATCCTTCCGACTCCCTCGTTTCTCATACAAATTCCATCGCATTCCCGTTCCTCCGACAATATTCGTACAGCATCCTCGTTGTCCTCGGGGGCTTATCCTCCTCCTTCTCCTCCTCCTTTTCCCTTCTCCTCCCTCCTCCTCTTCCTTGTTGTACCCCTTCTCCCCCTCCGCCTCCGCGAGGAACAAGGACGAGGAGGCGAATAAACAAGCGGAAGGAAAAGGCTCCTCATTCTCCTCTCCCTCTCCCCCCCAGATTACGAGGAGACATATGATTTTCGTGGGGCTGATAGGGGCAAGTTGTCCAGATTCTAGCTTCTGGGATTGCATGGACCTGAATATGCGTGCAAGCTGCCGGACAAGGTTCCAGAAGCCCTGGGGACAGATTCACAGAAGGCTCGCACGGAACCACATCAGGCGTGGAAATCTCAAATACTAGAAGGCATCCAGAACGGAGCTGGTCACGCTCACGCTTGCACAAGGACTCCCACGGCCTGGGATCCCACCAGCACGTTGTCAGCCAGCCGAGTCGTGCTCGCCGACCCCCGCCCCTCAGGAGCAAGGAGGTAGCTACCGTCCCACCGCTATGGGAAACTGGGAGTACGCCCGAGGTCCCAGCCCGCTCCACCGCCCTCCAGCCCTTGGACTTCCTCCCACCTGCTCGCTTGCGTGAGGCGCCCAAGACGTGGGCGACAAAAATCGGGAGCTCCGATTGACGGTCTCCACCTCAGGCTTGTCTAGACGAAGAAGAATCCACGTAAACATAAACTTTTGGCGCTCCGCGCGGATTTCTTGGATTCGCGCTGGAATCCCCTCCCTGGCGCGCGGAGCGCGCCAGGGGCGGCGCCGGAGACGCCGCCGGGGGGCCCAGGCGCGGATCGAAGAAATCCGCGCGGAGCGCCAAAAGTTCATGTTTATGTAGTTGTTTCTTCTTCGATTATTGCGGACCTCTCAGACTCCAGTTTCCCAATCTGTCTGCCCCTGACCCACATCATGGAAATGTCGTCGCTGCTGCGTAATCAAGTGCGCGCCATCCTCATTGCTTTGCCTGCCGAGCCGCAGGCCGCAGGGTGGGCGGCGTCCTGCCGGCGTGTTCCGTTCGACTTGCAGGACAAGCGGGGGAGGATGGGGAAACCGTTGAGGGGAGCAAGGGGGATTCGAAGCATTCCAGGCACTATCTCGCGACTGGGCCGTTCGCACGTGCATCAGGTGTCGTCTGGCGCCAGTCCGTCCAGTCAGAAGAAGCAGTTCGCTTATGTCCAGGCTCGTCTCAAGCCAAGAAGCAGTCTTACAGAGTAGCTTGCACTTCGATGTGGGACTTGCAGAAGTTGTCCGAACGTCTTAACCGTTTAGAATTGGAACACACCTGTGATGTCGTGGAGTGCCCAAAGCAAGTGCACGCTTTGCACTCGTCGGCCTGCAAAGGCCCCAGGTACATGATGATGGGTGGAATGGTCTAGGGGCCCTTCTTCGCCAGGAACGGGATAATAGCTGCGTGCTCTATGACGGTATCATAGATTCGGGTGTCGTGATTCTGACGATCGACAAAGTTTCGATTCCTGCCTCGCTCGACATATACATCGACGACTACGGCATATCCTCAAGGGGGTCCTCAGAAGATGTTCAGAGAGGACACGGCCTCTGTCATTTGCTCGTCCGTCATACATACTTGAACTGTGGACCAGGGATGCCCTCGGAAACTACGACGGAGCCATGTACGGAGAGTTGGCACGGAATCTTGGAGTTGACGATACGGTCGAGGGAGAACGAAGGATATATCCACGGTATCCTAGGAAGAGTGTGTTACAACGTGGCTTCTGCACAGCTGAGGTCATTCAAGTTCTCAAGTGTGGAGGAAGGTTGCATCAAGACTCTCTCCGGCGGGGCGAGGTGGACAAGGATCGCGCGAGCCACCCCGCCTACGAGCTGCCGTCGGCTCAGTGTGAGCAGTGCGGCCTTCATCCCGATAATATTGACATCGACGCCCTGCTTGTGCCAATCAACGTTCCGATCTGATCGACGATTGAATTCAGAGATTGGCTGAATCGGTCGACCCGGGTGGTGCTAAGGAAACTCCCCTTTTCACTCAAAAGGGATAGTGTCGCACTCTGAAGATGTTCTGCAGCGTCATAGGTCAGATGGTAAGCGTGTGCCGATCCATGGGCTTGGAGTTCCTGCAGTGGAACTGGGTGCTGTTCAAGGTGATGTACTCTTCGATGGATCCTGCCACACACACACACACATCATTAGAGTTAGGTCGGGCATGTCCCCCTACAGGCGGATGTTGGCAGAAAGTGAAACATATTTTTAAAAAATGCCCAAAACAGTCAACGAATACTTCAAAACATCGTCCCCGTACTATTTTTTGACTATTGGGGAATTTTCCTCCTTTATATGGACACGCCCGACCTAACATTAGAGAACTTAGTAGGGCAGCTTGCTGGGGATACGCAACTTTAGAATCGGAGGCTGGGGTGCAGGTTGCGGTTCCCGCAGCCTGAGGAAGCCGGGGCTCTAGATTTCGTTCCCTGACTATAGGACGAGGAGGAGGAGGAGAAGAAGGAGGGAAAAGGAGAAGGAGGAGGAGGAAGAGGAGGAGGCGGAGGAAGCGGAGCCCGCTCCCCCTGTCCCAGGGGGGTCCGCTTCGCGTCACGCGCCGGCCTCCACTCACCTCGCCGAGCTACAGGAGGTCAAGGCGCACGTGGCCAAAGGCTCTGCTTTGCCAGAAGGACAGACGTACTCTGAAGCATGCGATGCCGCCGCTGTCCGAGCTACGATGTCGGGCCTGTCTGCCCACCTCAAGGGTTCTGCGGCGGAGCTGCGAGAGGTGAGCGGGCAGATGCAAGTTGCCAGAGCCGTCTGCCCTCTGGCCACCCGCACGTTGCCCTCCCCCCTGGCCCGCCTTGGACCTCAAGAGCTGCCCCTTGGTTCCTCGGACCCCCCGCCCCAGGCCCAAGGTCCCAGCGAGAGACACGAGGGAACAGCGATCCTTGTGAACTTCCACCCGCCCTTTGGGCATGTGTGGTCTAACGGTGTTTCTCCCTCCTCTCCCAAAACCCTCTTCCCTTCGGTGGTGGGTACCCTGCCCTGCCCCTCCCCAAGTAATGTTTGTTGTTGGGGGGTGGGGGGTGGGGGTGGGGGGGGCGCGGGCTGGCAGACGGTCCTTTGTTCGCCCAAGATGGTTCAAACAAAGCGTCCGATGCTCCAAAATGGCCTCCAAGATGGCTTAATCTAGCTTCCGACACGCCTCCAATATAGTTTCTTGTATACCTCCAAGAGGCCCGACGAGAGCAATAAGACGGTTCCAAATGCTCCCGAGAGGAGGGGGGCGCTTGATGTGGGACCCCACCCCTTCTTTGATCGACGCCCGACAAGATGGCCCGACGAGGCCTCACAGGGCCCCCCAAAAAAGGCCCCAAGAGAGCCCTTTTTATAAGGGTCACAAGTGGGGCCCCTGGACACCTTGACGGAACCTTATGAGTACACCATGGCCGTCCAAAAAGGCCACAAGAGGATCCAAAGCAAACCCCAAGAGGACCCCCCAACGAGACCCCAAGATGACTCAAAGAGATATTGTCCTCGTTGTCCTCTTCCTCATTCCTCCGATGCTCCAAAACGACATCCAAAATAACTCGACACGACCATCCCCCTTCTCTCCTGGCCCGCTTCGTTTCACTGTATGTGTCTCTCTTCCTCCCGCTCCCCGTCAGCTCTAATGGGCAACGTTTCTGAATGGGCTGGCTGGTCGGGATTTTTTGTTGCGGGCGCCCTAATTGCCGGCGCGCGCGCCGAGCTAGCTAGCAAACCTACCGCCGGGGGGGGCTGCGCCGAGGCAGCTGCGCCGGGGGGTGAGAGCTGCCAGCTGTGGAGGCGGCTGGGGAGATGCAGCGCGCGACTACCATGAGAGCGAGATCACCAAGCACGAGGTTAGGCCTCGTCGCCACCGGGCGCCAGAGGCACGAGGAAAGAACCGCCAGGGGACTGCCAGGCTGGACAAGAAGGCTGAACCACTCCTGCGAGAACCAGCGTCCCAGGGGCCAGCGGCGGACCAAGCCAGGGAAGTGCATGCGCAGCCAGAGCTGGTCAGAACGCGCGGACCTGCCTGCCGGAACACACGAAAACACGAAGCGGGCAGAATGCACGGCCAGGTGGCGGGCGCCTCCACCACTGGATGAGATCGCTCACGGCGCCAGTGCCGGAGAAGGAGCCAGACGCGGCCGAACCGACGGCGTCTGGGGACCAGGGTCCGGAGGAGTGCAAGCACAAGCGCCGGAGCTGGTCAAGGCGCGCGAGGCCAGTGCCAGGGGGGCCGCGCCAGGCCATGGCGGGGCCAAGGCAAAGGCCAGAAGGACCAAACACGGTCGAGCCGACCGGCGCCTGGGGGCCAGGGCACGGTGTGAACAAGCGGGAACGGGGACTGGTCAAGACGCGTGAGTCGTAGACGTCACGAAAGGGCCAGAGCCGGATAAACCACGCCAAGCCATGGCGGGGCACGGGCAAATGCCAGGGTGATGAGAACAGCGCAGAAACGGCCGGGGGCGCGAGACACGGTGCGCCCCGCCCCAACGGAAACATCGCGCCCGGCATCGGCGGCGACTGGGGGCCAGGCCCCCAAGGGCGGGGAGGCCGAGCCAGTGGCCGAACGGGGACCCAAGCAGTCCACGGGGCCGAAGCCGAGGGACCAGGTCAGGCCTTGACGAGGTCTGGGCGTCGATCCGAGCGAAACTCATTACAATAGCGGACGGGGCCGATAGGCGCGCTGCGCCCGCAAGCAGGATCAGCGGGCCCGATATTGACGGCGCCCGGGGGGCATCTCAAGGCGGTTCTCACCGCGCGACCCAGGGCAGCCAGCGGGCGCTGCGGGTCACTGCTGCCAGGTGGGATGAGAGCTGGTGCGCCGGGCAATCGCTGGCAGACATGCTGCGTGCCGTGCACAGCATCGAGTCGACTGCATTTGCCCCACGAGTGTGCACTTTGCCGCGGGGGGCAGCACCGAGGCCAAGCCCACTTGCACGCGGGGGGGTCTGACCAGGCACCGTTGTCGACCTCAGTCAGCGGGGGCGCGCTCCACCTGCATGACTGCTGCCTGGCACGAGGGGGGGCCCTTCGGACCGCAGGCGACGCCAGCGCTGAGAGCGCTGCCAGGGGCGACTAACGGTCGCTCGGTTGGAGGGAGGACGGGGGCAGGCATCCGGCGCGCTGTGGCGGCACCGTGCCCGCTGCGTTCGTCCCCCGTCTGGTCAGCGCGCCGCTGGGGGCCGCGCCGCGATCGCCTCGCGCGGCGAGAATAGGGGCCGCCCAGGCACTGTGGCGACCAGGGTCGGCAGCACGCTAACACCGCGAAACCGTCTAGCCGGGCGCGACAGGGGGGCCCCATCCAGGCCGCAGGCGAGACGCAACGCTGGGAGAGCTGAAAGGGACGATAAACGGTCGCCGGGTCGGCGAGAGGGGGGGGGGGGGCGGCAGGCCGCGGGGGGAAGGGGGGCGCCCGCCCGAGGGCGCGCGGCAGAAGTGAGGGGAGCCAGGGGCGACTAACGGTCGCGCTGTTGGCGGGTAGAGGGCGGGGGAAATGCTGAAAGAAAAGGGATTGCAGACGCCGCTGTTGAGAGAGGATCTCGGGCGGCTGCGGGGACCTAGTTCCGCCTTGTTCTCTTGTCGCCACGGTCGGCGTTGTCGCTGCGCTTCCTGCCGCGCTTGCCCCCGTCGCGCCAGTCGCTATCCAGCCAGGATTGCCCCCCCCTCCCCTGCCAGGGCCACTCTGCCCGCTGATCCGACGATTCCTGGTGGGAGAGCTCCAGCCCTCTGCGCGGCGCGAGCCTTTGCCAGAGGCGCGCCGGATGCGTCTCTCGCGGATGGCGCCCCAATCAACGTTGAGCCCCAGCTTCTGGTCTATAGCATAGGCGTCGTAGCCCGCCCTGCACAAGGAATCCAGGAAATCCCTACAGGCCTGCTCGCGATTAAGGCGGGGGTTGCTTTTCGGCTTGCCTTTGCGCGGGAACTTCTGCGCATAGCTGCGCCAGATCCCGTTGAAGGCGCCGCCCAACAACTTCCGGAGCCGTGCAATCATGTCGGCTGGCTGCTCCCCCGCCTGCCCCAGGTTGACCCTGCCCAGATGCACTCGGTTCATTGGACCTCCCGCGCCGGGGTCGCGGGGGTTGTCGAAGGCGTGGGCACTGCCGCCGCGCGGGGGGGTTCTCGGGCGCCTGCGGTCACCGTAGTTGGAAGACGCTGCCTGGCTGCCCGCGGATTGTGGGCTCTGCGCCGTCCAGCCACTGCGGCTCTGCTGCCTCCACGGCGGGAGAGCCTCTCGCTTGGGGCTGGCGTGCCTAGGGGCGCCTGCCACCGAGGGCGCCTTCGGTGCTGGCGCCCAGAAGGCACCGAGAGGGTCGCCGGGCGGGCTGTCCTCCGTGGCCATCTCTCGATCGCCACCAGGGGGTTTCGCCTGAGGCAGCTGGCTGGCCATCGCGCTTGATGTCGTCGTCGACTTTGGCCTCCAGGCTCGGCGACGGCGCAGCGGAGGCCTGGGGCTCGGCGAAGTCGACCGGGCCCTCCTCTGCCGGAGATCCAACGTCGTCTTCTGGTGCCAGACAGGGGCCCCGCACGTCAGGATCTCGCCCAGGTACACCCGTGGGGGCAAGACCTTCGCGCCCATCCTGCGGCGGTGCCTCCCCCGCGGCCGTGTCTTGCGCGCGGCCGGAGAGCTCGCCAAGAGCGCCCGAGTCCGCGTGGTGTCAAGGGTGCTGCCCCCGTGGGGGCACAATGTTTTCTGGCTTGCGGGAGAGCCATGCCCCCGCTCGCCCGTCGGTTGCGCGTTCGAGGGCTGCCTCGCTGCTGTCAGCGACCACCGGGCCCTGCAGCGCGAGATTTGCGAGGGTGGCCGCTGCGAAGGCACTGTGGAGGCTCCTCAGGAAGCCCACTAGCATGTCGCGCTCGTGCCGGAAGAGGTTAGGGCCCCTGTCCCGTGCCAGGGAGGAGCGGTACTCCTGCCAGGTGCCGCTGTGGTGTGGGTTTCTGGCGAGGTGCTTCACCACCCTGGCGGCAGCCCAGCGCTCACCGTCCCACTCGACGTGGGATGGTTGGCCGCCCGCTGGCACATCCTCACCGTACATCAGCGCCAGGAAGGGTTCAAGGTCCTTTGGGGGCCAAGGTGGTTTCCTTGTCCTTCGGGCATGGGATGTTGGCTCCCTGGGCGATCACGAAGTTGCGCCAGTGAGTGTCAACATCGGGGCTGAAGTCACGGAGGTAGTTCACGAGGATGTGTTCCACGTCTCGTGCCTTGTTGGACTTGGTGCGTTCCTGCTCACCTTCCGCTGCCAGGCGGAGGTCCGCGACAATCCTTGAGCTGAACTGAGGGAGTGGGGGCGGACCGAGGTCGGGCAGGAGGGCGAGGATGTCTGGGGCCGATCTGATTGGAGAGCCACTGTCGCTGCCGCTTTCTGTAGCTCCTCTGGTGTTCCTTGCTCCTCGTGTCGCCGTGTCTCTGAAGCAGCCATCCCTGGCGGCGGCGCTGACGCCTCGTCGTGGTAGCTAGTCGGTGACATCCAAAGGAGTCTCCCCTCCACGGGGCCCTGGTGCTGTCTCTGGGTAAGATTTGCTGGGCAGACCTGCTGGGAACCGTGGTCTAAAATCCGATCCCGGGTGTTTGGTGCAATGTTCCAGATGTGAATTAGGCGTATCCTGCAGCCCCACTCTGCGTTCCATTCCCGTTCCTGCCATGCTGACCGCCACTGATCCCAGGGAGGGCGGCCGGAGCACTCGTCGGTGTTTGTCCTGGGCCCGGGCCGCCACAGGAAGCAGCCAAGGGCCGGGTCCGTGACTTTCCAAACGAGCAATGGGGCATCTGGTGGGCACGTGTCGCACTTCGCAAGAGTAGTTCCGGGCGCTGTGTGCGTCTCCTCCGAATCTCCCGTCGGTAAGCCTCCGTGCTGAGTCGAGTTCGCCAGGGTAGGGCAGCGTTGACGGGCTGTGGCCATGAGGAGTTCCTTCGGCGAAACTGGGTCTGCCGCGCATGGGCGCACTCCGTACCCTAGGGGAAGATACGCCAGGGAGGGAAGGGCGGCCACCTTCTGAGCATTGCCCTCTGCGAGGTTGGCAATGTAGTCCTGCACCTTCTGCATCATGGTGTCGCCTAAGGGTGTGGGCAGGCCACGAGTCTCGACGTAGGCGACCCAGCATGTCCCGCAGCGACATCTGCAGTTGCTTCCCGAGAGGTATGCCTGTGAACGGTTCTGCGCCAGGAGCTCTCGCGTCTCGTCACACTCCACGGTCCCGATTGTGAACTTGAGGCGAGCCCTGCCGCAAGCATCACAGTTGCACTTGGCCTCCTTGTCATTCGCTGGTGGGGATACTTTTTTGTCAACGGGCTCGCTAGGCGGGCCGAAAGCCGTCCGAACACTAGTCTGACCGCGACTAGGCAGCAGTAAAAGAAAGACAGCGAAGCGAGCGAGCGGGCAGCCACTCAGAAGGAGAGCCAGGTTGGTGGGGATACCCGAAGCACGAAGAATTACAAGGTGTGCGAAGCACGGGGGCGCCAAGCCCTGTCATGCCATCTGAATATGTGACATGTCTGGGATGAGCACCCCATAAGCAATGTGATTGACTTTGGATGTGCTGATTACGTGTCGCTTTACATCCTCTACTGCAATTCCACGCTGAAGCCCTCCAGGGCTCTGGCTCCCAGGAATCCAAGCGAAATCTCTGGGGGTGGGGCTCCAGAACTTGTGTTCATTGGGAATTGGGGTATCTCCGGTATGAGAGTCCCAGAAGCCATGTGCTGTCATTTCGATTCCGGGATTCCGCGCATTTCTGGTATGTGAATTATTACTGCTTTGTGTTATTTGGATGCCTCATGCACCTGGGATTCCTGATATGTCTGAGATGTCTTGTATTTTGCATGTCTGGCATAGATGTAAATCCCGGCAATACCGAACATCAAATTGTCATCACATGGTTTGGAGCATTCTCGTCCAAAAGTCTGACAGCTCCAATGCAATACCATGGTTTGGTACCCCCTTACTTCGCACATGCAATAACATCACAGGGATCGCTGCTCCCTCGAGCTTCTCTCCCTCTCTCTCTCTCTTTCTCTCTCCCCCCCTGTCTCTCTCTTATCTCTCTCGCTCTCTTCTCTCTCTCTCTGACTCTCTGACTCTCTCTTTCTCTCGCATCTCTCTCTCTCTCTGCCTCATCAGAGCAGGAGGAGCAGCAGGAGGAGACGCGCGTAAAGAAACGAGTAGCAGCAGCAGGGGGGGCCGCAACAGCAGGAAGAGCAAGAGAAGTAACAGGAACAGGAGGATAAGGAGGAGGAGAGTACATAACAGTAGGAATACGAGGAGAAAAAAAACTGAAAGGCGAGGGAGGGGAGAGGAGAACGCCGTCAAAAGAAAACAAGAACCCGTGGGTGCCGGGGGCCTGTCCATATGTATACATGTATGTATATAGACAGTATGCGTGCGCGTATGCGTATGTATGCGTGTGTGTGTGCAAATGTGTAAGTGTATGTGCGTCCGTGTGTGTGTGTGTGTGTCTGTGTTGATGTATGTATACATGCGCACCTCTGATGGCCTCTGGACCTCTCGCCTCTTTCCCGTGGACGCGTGTCTCGTCCTGGAACGCTTCCTGATGGCCTCGGGGCCCCAAAAGGGCACGCCAGGATCGAACAGATCATGTCGCCGGAGGTCAGTGAACGGCTCCTTCGAGGAGGGTGAGGAGGAAGAGGAAGAGGAGGAAGAGGAGGAGGAGGAGGAGGAGGAGGAGGGGGAGGAGGAGGCCTGGCGCGGGAGGACGCGGGGGGCCTTGCCCTTCACTGCCAGCTTGGCCTCCGTGGAGTCGAGGAACAGGTCCAGGGCGCAGAACTCCTGGACGAGCGGAGGGCGAGAGAAAGAGGAGGAGGGGGAGGGGAGAGAAAGGAGGAGGGACGAGGAGGAGGAGGAGGAGGAGGAAGGACAAACAAAAGAGAGGAGGAGGAGGAGGAGGAGGAGCAGCAGGAGGAGGGAGGAGGAGGGAGAGGAGGGGATGGAGGAGGAGGAGAGGGAGGGGGAGAGGAGGAGGAGGAGGAGGAGGAGGAGGAGGAGGAGGAGGAGAAGGAGGAGGGGGAGAGGAGAGGGAGGGGGAGCGAGATGAGGAGAGAGGAGGAAGATGAGGAGAGGCGGAGAGACCCACTCTCTATGTCCTCGGTGTCCTGACAAGAAAAAGGCTCTGCTGAACAGGACTCGCTTCCCTACGCTACTGCGCCTCCTCCTCTCCCTCCTCCTCATCCTCCTCCTCCTCCTCATGAGCTCCTCATCCCCATCCCCCCTTCTTCCGAATCCCTTCTCTTTCTCCCCTATCCAAGGCACTCGCACGCAAGAGCACCCGCTAAATGGAACCCTGTTTGAACTATACTTGCGAAAGACCAATGAGCGCGGCGGTGCCATGCGGGCGTTGCCACTGGGGCCTTCGGTGGAGCTCCCGATGGGGCCGCGAAACGAGTGAGGGGTGTGCCGAAATGGGTAGGGTGGTGCCATGCGGGCGCTGCCACCGGGGGCTTCGGTGAAGCTCCCTATGGGGCCGCGAAACGTGTGAGAGGTGTGCCGAAATGTGTGCGGTGGTGCCATGCGGGCGCTGTCACTGGGGCCTTCGGTGGGGATCCCTACGGGGACACGAAACGTGTGAATGGTGTGCCCAAACTGGTGCGGTGGTGCCATGCGGGCGCTGCCACTGGGGCCTTCGGTAGAACTCCCTATGGGGCCACGAAACGTGTGAGGGGTGTGCCGACACCGGCGCGGGGGTGCCATGCGGGCGCTGGCCTTTGGGCGGATGGGGCCGCTAAGCGTGAAGGGTGCGCGGGTGCGCGGACACGGGTGCAGAGGTGTCATGCGGGTGGCGCCACTGGGGCCTTCGGTGGAACGACATGTGGGCCCTATAAGGCCGCGAAACGTGTGAGGGGCGTGCCGAAACGGGCTCGGTGGTGCCATGCTGGCGCTGCCATCGGGGCCTTCGGTGGGGATCCCTACGGGGCCACGCAACGTGGGAGGAGTATGCCGAAACGGGCGTGGTGGTGCCATGCGGGCGCTGCCAGTGGGGCCGTAACTGTAGCTTCCTACGAGGCCACGAAAAGTGTGCAGGGTGTGCCGAAACGGATGCGGTGGTACAATTCGGGCGCTGCCACTGGGGCCTTCGGTGAAGCTAACTATGGGGTCACGAAGCGTGTGAGGGATTTGCCGACACCGGCGCGGTGGTGCCATGCAAACGCAGCAAGTGCAGCCTTTGGTGGAGCTCCCTATGGGTTCACGAAACGCGTGAGGGTAAATCGTGATGGTAACTAAGGATGGCGATGATAATGACGATGGCGATGATGACTTGAAAAAATGCGGAGGGCAGAGGCAGTGATGGGAGGAGGGGGAGAGGTCGAAGAGGAAGAAAAAACGCGGGGCGCTGTCTCTTCAACCCAACACCGCCAAATGGTTGTAAACAAGACACGCGGGTTTATCATCCGAGCACGATCGCAAACGACTCACGCACGTTGAGGACTTCGGAACGGCCAACATGCCGATACTCACCATATTCGCGCCTGCCCCAAATCTTCACGGAAGGACCAGGAGACCGCTGCGCTGGCTTACAAGACCTAGCTCACACGGCAAGGAGTAGGCTGGGTGAGCCTAGAGTAGGCAGAATGGGGAGAGGGAACAGGGAGAAGGGACGAGAAGGTACAAGTAGAGGGAAGGAAGAACTGGGGTCGGCGGAGGGAGGAGGAGGAGGAGGAGGAGGAGAAAGAGAGAAAAGGGAGGAAGGCGAGAGGAAAGGGAGGAAGGCAGGAGGGAGGGAGGGAGAGAGGAGGCAGGCGGAGAAGGAAGGACGAAGGAGAGAGGAGCGATGGAGGATGAAGGCAGAGGAAAACGACGACGACGACGTGAAGGATGTTGGGAGAACAAAAAGCCGACACCAGCACCAAGAAAGTAATTGTTCCACGAAATTTTGAATTGCGTTTTGGACCAGCGCGAGCCCGCCCTGGCCTGAGGAATCGCAGAATGGGCGAGGAGGGCGGGGGAAGGGAGTCGTCGCGCAGCACGCAGGAGGGAGAGCAGGAAATAACAAGTGCAAGCGAGAAGTGAAACTAGCGGGCGCTCTCGGGAGAGGAGGGAGTAAAGAGGGACGGATGCGGCATCCTCCATGACTGAAGCTTCACTCCCCCCACCGCCGCCCTCCACCACGCCTCCCCACGCCCGCTCGTCCCCCTCTCATTCCCCCCACCCGTCCCCTCACCCGCCCGATGTCCGCCCGCGCCGCATCCCTGACCCTCGTCTGGCCCGAAACCAAAGCCCGACGATTTCGAATCCACCGCTCTCCGCGAAATGGGGCGGTGGCCGCCCTTCGCGTCCTGGGCACAAGACCGTGGCCTCCTCTTTACCCAGGACCGCAGCCCGTGGCAACCTTCCGAAATCGTCGAGGGGTTCAGCTCGCACAGGGGGCTGCCGTTCCAGTGGGTGTCTTGGTGCTGGTGTCGGTTTTTTGATGTTGCCGGGAACGAAAAGCCTGCACCAGCACCAAGACGCTACCGGAAAAGTTCGGAGCGCTTTCCCTGTGGGGGCTGAGCGACCCAACGAAGCCAAGAAAGTTTGAGATGGCTCGCGTTGCTCACCGAATTTGCAAGCCATGGGGCTTCCATGATAGAGAAACGTCACATGCAACTCATGGCGCCCCTGAGGCCCACGAAGCTTCCGTGGCCCGCGGGGGTTCCAAGGCCCAGAAACCAGATGTGGCCCTGACGAGTCAGGGAGCCCATGGTGCCCGCGCGGCTCGCTGGGCCAGCGCGGCGCATTGGGCCTATGCGCACTGCGGCGCACGTTCGGCCCAGGAAACCTTTGTGGGACTTGTGGGGTTCATGGAGCTGGCTGGGTTCGCACGGCCCGCGGGCCTCGCGCGGCCCATGAGAATCCGAACGCTCACTTGGGGAATTTTAGGCGGCCTGTTATGTTCCCACGCGCTCAGAGCTGGCATTCATCAGCGCGGGACACGCGAGCCCGAAGACACGGGCGACGGCATTCAACAGAGGCTGCAACTTTTTCTTTTCCGGTGGCTTCTTGGTGTTGGTGTTGGGTTCCTGTGCGCCGAGATGTGGGCGACGTGGACGACGACGACGGCGGTCGTCGCCGCCGCAGCAGCATCCGCGCGCGCGCGGGTCCTGGGCGCCCTCGCGCAGGCAGGCGACCGCGTAGCTCTGCCCCCCCTGCTCGACCAGCACCTCGCGCGCACGCGCGCGCGCCCCTTCGGAGGCCTCGTCGGCCTTCGGGAGCCCTCTGGAGTCCCTGGAGGCCTTCGGAGACCCTCGGGTCTGTCTCCGGAGGGAATTCGGAAGCTTCCCGCGGGCTCGGGGGCTCCTGTTTCCCCCCTCGAAGAAAGGGGGGGGGAGTTTGAGGACACGTGCAAGGTGGGTCCTGGGGGGTAGCTATGGCTGCTGTTGTCCAGGGCTATGAGAGCTCTTACTTTGCTGGTTCATGCGGGCGGCCACCTGACCCCAGAAGGGGGGAGGAAGCGGAGAAGGCAGGGGCTTCCCCTCCCAGACGGGGGAGGAGAGGAGTTAGCGGAGGAGGAGGGGGAGGAAGAGGAGTGCTGGGCGGAGGAGGAGGAAAAAGGGGGGGACAAGAAGGAAAGACATGAGGAGGCGCGAGAGGATAGGGGATCCATTCAATTGTTCATTGACGGTGCAGCCAACTTTTGCAATACGGCTCAAGAAGAGTTATTCATAAGGATCAGTCAGATCTGTTCCAGCCTCCGAGGCGCGATCCGCGCGAGGAATGTGCGACAATTGGCCCATGGACGCCAGCTTGAGGCCCAGGCGTCCGCAGCCGGCGGGTGGTTCATATAAGATTGGTTGCGGCCCCCGAGGCGCGATCTGTGTGTTGAGCAGGGACCGACCGTCCCGGCGTTCCTATAAGCCTGCCGCGACATGTTCTCACAATCCAGAAAAAAAAACAAAACACATGTTCGCAGAACCGAATCCCGACGTGTCAAAACACGACGGTCCCAGCCTGAAGCGTTCTAAGAGCACGTCGTGCAGACCACAAGAGGGTTCTTACAACACTCCCTGGTGGGCCTCTGGGCAAGCCAGGACGCCTCGCCACTGCTCGAATTGAGGTCCCCGTGCCAAGAGGTGCCACCTGCTGCTGGCTCTCAGTCCGGGCGTCGGCAGCCCGCCGCCGGCCGCCGCCTCCCGGGTTGCCGAGCGCTGGTGGCCCCCGTCGCCCCCGTCGCCCCCCAGGCATTTGCCACGTAACGGGCGGGACCTGGGCCGGCATTTTTCCGCCCGCAAGCGTTGCCACGTGCGCGAAAAACAAAAATTGGCCGTACGCGGATTGGCGTAGCGACCTTACGCCGCAGCCTACGCGGGCCGCCGTCGTGGCACGCTGCGTTGGTGACGAGGGCGCTTACGCGCGACCTTACGCGGGCACGTTACGCGCCAACGTCGGCAAAGACGGCCCCGTTGTTTTTTTGCGTCGTTCACATGACGAAAAGGAATGGAAATAATACCGTAGCACCCCGCAGTTGCGGATAAGAGTGAAGGGGCGGCGGGTACGTCGGCAGTCTGCGAGGCTCTAAAAAAGCCCGCCGCAGGCCCAGAAGTCTCAAACTATAAAACGAACCCGCCGCAGGCGCAGATTTTTTTGTGAAAACAATGCGCGTGGGTCATGGTTTGGGTCGCAAGTGGGTCGACGGTGGGTCGCAGGTGGGTCGCAGGCTGGGTCGCGGGTGGGTCGCGGGGTGGGTCGCGGGTGGGTCGCGGGTGGGTCGCGGGTGGGTCGCGGGTGGGTCGCCGGGTGGGTTGCGGGTGGGTCGCCGGGTGGGTCGCGGGGTGGGTCGCGGGTGGGTCGCGGGGTGGGTCGCGGGTCAACTTAGCCAGCTCGAACGAGCCAGAGGGCTCCGTCCACTCCCACCCGCCCTCCCGCAACATAATAAGCTTGTGCGTCGCGTCCGACGCCTGTCGCTCATTTTATATCGTGGGCGGCTAGACGTTCAGCGCGCGACATGAGCTGCGTCCTACCCCTGCCGCGTATTGAATTACGTCGACGAGACACAAGACCGCGCGCGATGTACGCCCGCCCAGCTCCTCAAACCGACGGGACGCAGCGTCGACGACAAGAGAGTCCATTTCGACGAGCAGGCGTCCCCGCGCGATGCGCGCCGCGTCCCATTCCCGCTACGCGTTTCGCAGCGCCGACAAGGAGAAAATACATGTTGGCATGGAAAACGTCGACGTTGCGGTGTTTTTTGACAGGTAGGACGTGGGGTCCCGCGTAGGGTTGGCCAGGCGTCCGCGCGCGATGTGCGCCGCGTCCCATTCGTGCTACATGTTTCGCAGCGTCGACGACAAGAAAGTCCATGTTGACAAGAAAAACGTTGACGTTGCATGGTTTTTGATGGGTAGGGCGCGACCACCCGCTTAGGGTTACCCAAGCGATGTTCATTCCGTCCCATTCCTGTTACACATGTCGCAACTCGACGACATGCTGGCGAGAAAAACTTGAGATTGTGTTGTTACTTGGCAGTTAGGACGGCGGGGCTGTTATCGGCCAGCTAGGTGGGGAGGTGGGGGTATTCAATCATGAGAAGTAAGGGTGGGTTGCGGGTGGGACTACAAAAACAACAACAACAACAACGACAACAGCAACATCAACAACAACAACAACGACAACAACAACACCAACAACAACAACTACAACAACAATAACAACTACAACAACAGCAACAGTAACAGCTACACCAACAGCAATAACACCAACAACGACAACAACAACGACAACAACAACAACGCAGCAAGCATAATCCTCACCACGGATTCTCACTTTAGCCACGCACCAATACATGATCGTTCGGCCCCCCCAGGCCTTGCCACGCGACGAGTCGAATGGATGGCATCGCTCCCGCACCGCCGTACGTTCTCCGCCCCGCTGCGATGCCGCGCGCCTAGCATGATAGAATTGGATCGGTTCGCCCCTCTGGCGTTGCCGCTTGGCGAATCTAGTTCCGCTCAGCTGCATTGCCACGTGGCGATTACAGTCACATGTGTAACTCCACCTTCTGTTGCAGCGTAGCGAACGGAGTGTACTTGGCTTCGTTTCCCCACCCCCTAGTAGAACAGTGTTTTGTCTCGCCCCTAAGGCTTTGCCACGTGACGAACAGTGGACTGGCATTTGTTCCAACACCAGGCGTTCCCAGGACACGAGCATAATATAATTCGGGGGCGCGCAAACATGGATTAGCGATCCATGGATCTGGCACGAGGTCGCCAAATCCATGGATCTGGGGAGATGCCCTCCCCGAAATGCGGCTGTGCCGCCCCGTTCGGCGGCGGAGACCCTCGACTTCCCATGCAGACGGGACCCGCCGCTAATCCACGCCCCCTGGATCCATGCTTGCGATCGCCTGGGAACTCTGGACTGGCACTTGTTCCAACCCAAGGCGTCTCCACGTCACGAGCAGAATCTATAATAGCAGCTGCTGACGCCTGGTAGCATAGAATAGCATCGTGCCGCCCGCCAAGCGCTGTCACGCGACTAGCAAGAAAAGGTACGGTACTGCTTCCGTGTCTCGCTACGCTGCAGCTGGGCGAGTAGGGCAGAATCCCACCAACCCTCTGGGTGTAGGGTGTTTTCTCGGGTGTTGTCTTCTCTCTCTCTCTCTCTGCCGAAACCCCTCCTCCCCCTACCCCCCCCCGCTGGGCCTGGGAGGGACGGTGAGCACGGGTAGTTGGAGCGCCCCAGGTGGCCCAATCTGGCTCCAAGAGGGCTCAAGAGAGCTCCAAAATAGCCTCCAAGGTGGCTCAAGATACCTCAGGATGGTTCAAAGTAGCCTCCGACACACCTCCAACAGAGGCCTCAATACGGCCCCAATACGGTTTCAAGCGCCCTCCAAGCCCTCAAAGAACCCCCCCCCAAGAGGCCAAAATCCTTGCACAACCTAGAGAAAGCAATGAGTGCTGGCGTCTCATCTTTTCGCTCCCGATAGGTTCTTGAACCCTCACGATGGGCCCAAGACGACCCAAGAGAGCCCGAAGAGGGCCCTAAGAGGGCCCCTAGAGGACCCCGAGAGCGCCCCAAGAGAGCCTTCAGGCATTAGTTTTGAGCCTCCTAATGGGGGGAGGCTGAATTGCCCCCCCCCCCCCCCTTCTATTGAGCCATGGGGCCCAAGATGGCCCACAGAGGCACCCCATACCACCACAAGAGCCCCAAGAGGGCCCCTAGACCCCCCCAAAAAGCCCCAACAAGGCCCCAAGGGTGCCCCAAGTGGCTCTACGAAGACCATAAAAGAGACCCAAGACGGATGGAAGAGACCTCCGAGAAAACACTTCCAAGGCGGTTGTTGCACTGCTTGCTTCTACACTTCCCTGATCAAGGCAACTCGCCTGGCGATATGTTTCTGGATGGGCTGGTGGGGATACGAGGAGCGTCAGTAATCCGCCGATCCGGCGTATGAGTTTCTGAGAGCGTGGGCTTGAGCTCGCTCAAGCTTCGTTCTGCGGGGGGGGGGACCTCATTTCCGACCTAATTCAGTGCTTCGGGGGGGGGACCTCATTTCCGACCAAATTCAGTGCTTCGCCCCCCCCCCCCCTCCCAGAGCGGAACCCCCTGCAGCCCAGCCCCCCCCCCCCCCCTGCAGAGCGGACCTCGCCCCTGTAGCCCCCCCGCCCCACTGCAGAGCGACCCCCCCCCCCCCCCCTGCCCAACCCCCCCCTGCAGAGCACCCCCCCCCCTGCAGAGCGGACCTCCTCCCTGCAGCCCCCCCCCCCCTGCAGAGCGGATCCCCCTCTCCTCCCCTGCTCCCCCCCCCTCTGCAGAGCAGACCCGCCCTCCTGCAGCCCCCCTCCTCCCAGAGCGGACCCCCCCCCCCTGCAGAGCGGACCGCCCCCCCCTCCCTGCAGCCCGCCCCCCCCCCGCCGCTGCAGAGCGGACCCCTCCCCGTGCAGCACCCCCCTGCAGAGCGGACGCTCCCCCCCCCCTCCCACCCACCCCCTGCAGAGCGGACCCCGCCCCTGTAGCCCCCCGCCCCACTGCAGAGCGGACCCCCCCCCTCTGCAGAATAGACCCCCCTCCTGCAGCCCCCCCCTCCCAGGGCGGACCCCCCCCCCTGCAGAGCGGACCGCCCCCCCCTCCCTGCAGCCCAGCCCCCCCCCCGCTGCAGAGCGGACCCCGCTCCGTGCAGCCCCCCCCTGCAGAGCGGACGCCCCCCCTCCCCTGCCCCCCAACC